TCTCCAGCCCAGCCCCGAGCCCCCAGGCTCTCCAGCCCAGCCCCGAGCCCCAGCAATGCTACCCCACCCCCAAACTCCCGGGATCCCACCATGGCAGTGCCACAGGGATACTCACGTTGGAAATGTGTTCCTTGTACGCAGCCCGCTCCTGGGGCGAGAGGCTCTGTGGGAACAGGGACACGGTCAGGGATGGGGGGCACGGAGCAGTGGGGGATGGAGAGGGACAGGGCTCTAGCACAGGGCACAGCCTCCTCCTCTGTGTAACTTTTATCCTTTTCAGTTACAAAATGTCAAAAAATGGTTTCCGGAAGAGGGCTGGGAACAGAGACCATGCTGAGCACTCTCCCCAAAAGCAGGGGATCCCAGAGACTCGCACCAGGCATCGGGATCCAGCACCCACCTTGAGCCAGATGTCGAGGTGCACCTTGTACTGTTTCTGCTGCTCCTCTGCCAGTTTTTTGTAGTGGTCCTTCTGGCCCTGGGAGATGCGCTGCCAGCGGCTGCCGATCTCCACCATCCGCTCCTTCAGCGGGAGGTGGTTCAGCTCCCCGTTGGACAGGAGCTCCTGGGAGAACTTCTGGTAACCGTTCCTGCACGGGGAGAGCGCAGGGACTGGGCTGGGACAGTGGCTACAGACAACCCAGGTGTCCATAACCCTGTCCAGCCCCACCAGGCTCCAGCCCACCCTCCCTCCTCTTGTCCCAGGCTCTTCCCAGCAGCACAGCCAGACCCAGTTTTTCACACCCCAGGTACTCACATGGGGGGTTTCTTCGGCTCTCCCTGGAATTTCATTTTCTTGGTGGAGTTGGTGGAGCACGGAGGGGCCCGCATCTCGCTCAGCTCCCTCTGAGCCACAGGAGAGACAGGGTCAGGGAGAGGGGCAGCGCTGGCCAAGGGGCACAGCGAGGGACAGGACGGGGCACAGACCCACCTCGTATCGCTTCTGATCCTCCGCCGCCTTCTTGATCCACATCAGCTTCTCTTTCTTCTCCATGTTGTTCCAAGTGGCCTCCATGGCCTTCAGTGCTTTGCCCCGGTCATTCTGTGGGACAGAACCACCACGCTGCATCAGATGCACCCAAAAACCCCGGGACATTGGGGTGCTACGTCTGGGCCCCACCTCCAGCCTCTTTCCCAGCCCACTCCTCACCTTGAAACGAGCCAGGTAATCCCCGATGACGCTCTGTTGCCAGATCTCCTCGGCAGTTTTGGGAGACTCGGGCAGCTTCCCACGCTCCTCTTTATCCGAGCCGTGCTTCTTCTCCGACTGCGCCTTCATCGCCGCCTCCCGTGCCTTGTACTTGGCCTGGGGGGGCAGGGGGTGAGGGGGGCACGGG